GCAGGTTTGGCTCGCTGAGGGTGATTCCCCCCTGCTGCTCGAATTGCTTTGTCTGAGCGTTGTGGTGCCTCCCTCCTCCTCTGGGAGCCGGGGGAGTGCCGGTCCTCGCCGTTTTTTTGGCCTTTAAAAATTTGTCACCGGAGATGGGGATTGTTATACATGGAAGTTAAGGCAAAGGGTCGTGTTTCGTCACTGCCTTCCATTAAATCCCCTTAACAACAGCAGAATTGATAGACTTAGCGTTTGTGTACTTTCCTCATTCTAATATTCCTTTCTGTATGTTCCCCCAAACTTTCTGGGTGTCTGAAGGTAGATGCCTTCATTAAATACTTAACGGGTGCTGGTATTCTTACTGCCAGGCATGGAAATAAATTACCTGGCTAAAAAAGATGCTGTTTTTTGCTGTAGCAAAGCATAAAAACGGTCCTCCGTTTTTCATCCTAGTGATGTGAGGGGTACTGTAGGGTTTTAGTTGTGTTCAGATATGTCCCTGTAAGTACAAACAATAAGTGATATTCTTTCATCTTTTATTGGGGGAAGAGTAATTTAGCTGGCTAATAATTTTCATACCAAACGTTGATACAGAGCAAGAAGAGATGGCGTATTGTAAGTTGGAAGAGTCTCACGTTTTTTTGTGAAATGAATAAATAAGGCCTGTTTCTTATTTCAGCTTCCAAATAAAATGCCACAAGAAGTATGAAAGCCTCAGTCGTTTTTGTAGCTGTCTTGTGTAGTCTCTGCACTCCACTGAAAACACTCAGTAAATAGTCTTAGCCACTCTCAAAGTTTCTGTTTATCAACTCTACTGCTTGCTGCTAGTGTGTTTTCATTTCAGTTGCTAGATGAAGACATCATATTAATTATGACTTCTTGATTAGCCCCTGAAAGTCAGAAAAAAGATATACTAATTTTGGGTTTCTTCCCTTTTTGGGTGTAGATTGGGTTTGACTCTTTCTGTCCCTTGTTAGGGCTGTAACAGGGAGATAAAGGGGTAATCTTTCAAACCATGTATTTTTGCTATCCAGAGTTAAGCAGAAAATAAACATTTGTTTAAAATGCGACTTGAAATGATGACTAGAAATTGGAAGACCCTGAACTCTCACCAGCTCTGTTGTCCTTCATTAACATGCACATTTCGATTGGCTGTATGTTTTGCTAGCCACATAATTGGAATATAAATAGTGAAATCTTTCCCTCTTCTCGAATTGTCAACTATAAAAGTAAATGTAACTGGGTGGATTGCTCTTGAATGCAGTGTTAGACCTTTCAATAAAGGAGTACACTTTAAGGGAGTACTGATATCAGTATTATGTGTACCAAATAAGTCTTATCACACAGCAGAATATGATAGGTGTCCCATCTTTGGAAACGTTCTAGGATAAAGTCTAGAAAACTGCTAATAAACAAGGACTGGGTTTATGTTTTCAAGTGAGTTCTCAGATGGTGCTAGGGATACAGGAAATTCTCCTCTGCTAGAATGATGCTCTGCATTAAAAGGAATCACAGGTCTGGTTTATATCAATGCAATATTTGTTAATATCTCTGAAGGTACTTCTTTAACTGATAATTGAAACTACAAGAACAAATGATAACCAGTGCAGCCAATACATGCAAAAAGAACTCTACTTTTTCTTAAATAGTTAAAGCTAAGTTCCTTAAAAAGACCAGTAATCTGTTTAAGAAGTAGTAAGACCAAAAATCTGTTTAAGAAAATACTGAAGCAACTTGCAGTCATGGTTCATTTAGCAGTTTTCAACAAATTTTAGTTTTCTATAGCTAGCTTTTCACCAGTGATGCTTATGGAGTCTGAATCATTGAGAAGATGAGCTGTACTGTGTCCTGCTTTGGCCATGGAAAAGATGTCTAGTCAGTATGTGATGGCAAAATTGTTATTGTGGACAGTGGTTTTATTTTTCTTAAAATAGTCTTATTTTGACAGCAGTGACCATAAGCAATAACAAATTTCTTAAACAGAGCTGGCCTCAGCTGTCATAATGTGATTTGTCTACTGGCAATGATTGAAGGCACAATATTAGTAGTGTCTCCTTCCAAAATAGTCAAATAAGCCTTCATAGTATAGGACGTACCTATTATAAAATGTAACAATACAGATAAAATCTAGGATCTTGGGGAGTTGCTGAATGAAAATCTCGTCACTTGCATTTCAAGAGAGGAATTTCTTTCACTCCAAAGTGTTGTTATGCTTGAGGATTTTCCTCAGCTGTCGAACAGGGTCTGAGCCAGGAACTGTGCTCCTGTTTTGCTCTCGCTCACCTTCCCGAGTGCATTTTCACAGACACCCTTCAGCAACTACAAGTTTGCACAGTTGTCAGAAGAGGTTGTGCCCTGCTTCCAGCCAACAGTGCTTTCCTGCCTTAGAGGAGCCCCTAGATCAGGGTGGATTTAGCTGAAAACTAATCTCTTGGGGTTGAATGGGTCTGGAAGGTGCACAGTTATTAGTTGTTGCAGAAGAGAAGTAGCAGGTTTACAGTAGTTTAAGTTGATGGAGAAGCTCTACCCTTAAGCATTTTAAGGCCGGACTGGGATCTTTTTGCAATCAGAGCCTCTGTTCTGACTTCAAGCTTGTGAACTTTTTTTTTTTTTTTTTTACTGTATATTACTGTGTTTTGTCTTTGTATAGTGTGTCCCTTTCCAGCACTGAGCATCGTTTTAGTGGGGTGTTGCTTTAGGCTTTCCAGGCATGGACCAAGAGCTCTGTGATGTGTAGGTCCCTGCTGCTCACTTCCCCATTTTTGTAGGAGTTACTAACGTTGTGTGTGTGAAAAGAGTTTTACAAAGATGATTGTTCCCCAGGGGTCAGTGCAGGGCCAAGCCCTGTTCAATATATTCATTGATGACCTGGATAGAGTGTACCACCGGCAAGGTTGCTGATGACACAAAAGCATGAGGGGTGGCTGACACACCAGAAGGCTCTGCTGCCATACAGCAAGACCTGGAGAATTGGGCAGAGAGAAACCTTGTGAAATTCAACAAAGGCAAGTGTAGGGTACTGCATCTGGGGAGAAATAACCCCACGCATCAGTACAGGTTGGGGGCTGACCTGCTGGAGAGCAGCTCTGTGAAAAGGGACCTGGGAGTCCTGGTGGACAACAGGATGACCATGAGGCAGCAAGGTGCCCTTGTGGCCAAGAAGGCCAACGGCATCCTGGAGTGCATCAAGAAGAGTGTGGCCAGCAGGTCGAGGGACGTTATCCTCCCCCTCTGCTCTGGTCTGGTGAGGCCCCATCTGGAGTACTGAGTCCAGTTCTGGGCTCCCCGGTTGTCCTGGTTTGAGGACAAAACCACGACACCGGTTCAAGAAGGACAGGGATCTGTTGGAGAAAGTCCAGCAAAGGGCTACTAAGATGATTAGGGGATTGGAGCATCTTTCTTACGAGGAAACGCTGAGGGACTTGGGTCTTTTTAGTCTAGAGAAAAGAAGACTGAGGGGGGATCTTACTAATGCTTATAAATACTTAAAGGGAGGGTGACAGAAGGATGGGAACAGTCTCTTTTCAGTGGTGCCCAGTGACAGGATAAGAGGTAACGGGCACAAACTTGAATATAGGAAGTTCCATCTAACCATGAGGAGGAACTTGTTTACTTTGAAGGTGGCAGAGCACTGGCACAGGCTGCCCAGAGAGGTTGTGGAGTCTCCCACTCTGGAGACATTCAAAACCCGCCTGGACGCCATTCTGTACAACCTGCTGTAGGTGACCTGCTCTGGCAGGAGGGTTGGACTAGATGATCTCCAGAGATCCTTTCCAACCCTGACCATTCTGTGATCATAGCCTAATCGAAATAGTCCTGGAGATGTGTATTGAAAACACAACTGTGCTGTGTTTTGGAAATGATGACTATGTTTTCCTGATGAGGAGGAGGGGTAAAATAGTACCTTTCTGGAAGAAAAGTGAGAAATTAAGTAGAAGTGGACTTGAAACTCTTTAGTCTTTATGTGACTTATAATATTCTTTTTTTTTTTATTTTATTTTAACCAATATACTTTTGATGGAAGGATGTTAACTATTCTTTTCTCCCTTTCTTTTTAGCTTGGTTTTACTCTTGGCAATGTGGTTGGAATGTATCTGGCTCAGAACTATGATGTGAGTATTCTCAGAGTTAAACCTATTCTGGACTGAAAATATAAGGCTGTTTTCCCTCAATCAGAACTGAATCTGTCTTTATTTTGATGGCTTATTTTAATTAAACAGAATGCAGATCGTCCTGACTTTAGTTTAGTTACAGATGAACTAGAAGGTAAATAAACCCAAAACATCTACCTCTTTGACATCTTCTGTGTGGTAAGATTAATGCTTAGAGCCTTAACTGGTGTTGTGGCCCTAGAGCACAGGGATGGTAAACAGGCATCTACATAGGAGAAGCAGAAAGGGTTTAGCAGCTGCTCACAGATTGTACTGGCATGAAAATACTGTTTTTCCTGACTCTGATAGTCTGTCTGCTTACAGTGTTCTCCACTGAGTACACCTGTTTGTTATTTAAAAGTCCTTCAGAGAATCTAAAATGTCTGTCTTCTGTACCAGTAATGAAAATAAGTTTTGCCAGCCTTTTTTGAAAATTCAGCACCTATTCCTACTTTAAGCAATATGTTGGCCTGCAGTCTTTCTTTCCTTTTCTCACAGTGAGAAAAGAAAGGAAGGGAACTTTCTCTCAGTTCTCACAGTGAACGGAGATTTTTCCCTGGGAGAGTTAGAGTAGAAGAAGATTTAGATCTGAGTCTTCAATACAAGACTTAATTTCTGCAGAGTCAGCAGAATCCCTTGTAAGAGCAGTGCCACTTAGCTGTTTACAGGCTGGAGGAGTCAATGAAACTTAAAATATTTCTTTTTCCTTTCTTATGGAATCTATATTAGCCTAGTTTAAAAAAAAAAACCAACAAACAACTATTGAGGCTCAAATTTCTGATGACATTTATGTTTTGCTTTCATCTTCAGTATTGAAGTCATCTTGCTTGCAGAATTCCTATTTTTTGCTGCTTGCTCATGCACAAACTCTTATGATACTTCCTGTCCAGTCAATCCAGTAAGAGTATTAATAAAAAGCTCGTTTTAGTTTCCAGTACATGTTTTGCAGTGTTATGAAAATGTAGTCACAAGAACATATTTGGGTGTATCAGTATGTATCGTCAGTGTTTTTCTGGCAGCACTAATAAAGTATTGCCACAAGAGGGGGACTTACGCTTGTGATTTGCAGGAAATGGTTCCCTGAGTACATAACACTGACTTGCAGGATGAACATGGTCATTTTATTGCTGGTCTTGAAGATTATTTGTTTTAGATGACATCTAAGATAAATTTGTTATAATGAGGTCCTAATTCCGCAGCTGTTCACACCTGTGCTTAGTTATAAGTACATGGAGGGGTCTGCTGACAACAGTGGACTTCCCTTGGTTTAGCTTAAATGTCAGGTGCGTTACAGGCTGGGCTGCTAATTTTGTTTACTCAAACAGAACTTAACTTTGAAAGGGAAGCTAAGAGAGAAACGTAGGATGTTATCTGTACTATCAGCCTCAAACCATCCAATTAGAGAACTGCAGTCTGTTTGGATTAACTTTCCTTCTGCTTTGTGGTCAGGTTACATATGAAGTAAAAGCCCATGACTTTTTTCACAACTACCAGTGGGAACTTTGCTTTAGTTTCATTTTAATCAGTTAGCTTGTAAAATGCTATGTTGTCAATTCCCAGTTTTAGCTAGAGTCATAGGAAAATCTATACCCTGCCCTTAAAAGTTGCTTTTATTTTTAAAATTTTTTAAAGTTGTCAAAATTTACTGTTGGGTTGCTTTATCAAAATGCTTTTATTTGCAAGAGAAAGCTGAGGTTTTGAAGTTTACAAGCGGTAAATTGAATTTTCATTCAAGTGTGAAACTGCAAAATGTTGCCAATTTGGTCTGCAGTAGAATTCCCCAGTGGGGAATTTTGGTTCCCACAAGGTGGACCAGGAGAAGTGTTTCTTCATAAATTTCTTGAACATACTTGCTTCTCTTGAACATCTCTTTTCTCTTGGTTTGTGTCCAGTATAGTGCAATCTAATTTCCCCTCCCAGAGTCGTTATTGAAGTCTGTGCATCGGTGTTTAAATCGGCTTATTCTTTGGCAGTTTGTCCTCTTTCAGTGAAGAAGCCAGTCTCGTCTTACTAAATTTCCTGCAAAGTGATTTTTTTTTTTCCTCCCTCCTGTTCCCATTGCCACTGAGTGACTTTGAGTCTTAACAATCTAAACTATTTCCTGAAGCCTCATGTAAGGTGTTTCCATCTGCTGTTTGCTTGATGTTGCTTTGTTTTCAACCGCTGTGCAAGGTAACAGATCCTGGAAGCAAGTATCTTTTAGAAATCAGTTTGAACTTCATAGAAC